TGCAGTTGGTGGAGAAAGCCAACTGTGGCTCAAGTTCACACTGAGCTTTGTTCCCTCTTCCATGCCTTGTTTTACTCATTCACTTTTCTCTCCCTAGAATATTCCTCTCAACTTTCCAAATTCCCACCTGTTAAAATCCTCCGCTTTAAAAGTTCACCTCAAACACCAACCATCTTCAAGATGACTTCTTTCTCTCTCATATGACACTTAATATGTTTTCTTTGTAATTACTTTAACTATATGTGTCCTTATCCTACCCAGTTTTAAAACTCCTTGAAGGTAAAGACTGTGTCTTGTTTGTCTTTGCATCCTCTCATCGTGACAGCTAATACAAACCTGCACATTGGTGCTTAATACATGTGAACTAAATTAATTTACTCACATATTCTCTAGGAATCCTTTATATATTCATGTTCTGCTTATCAAGAAGAAGATAATAGGATTTTGCTTTATTTTTTATGTCTGGCTTTCCCCTGTCTATATCCATTCTATTAAAGTTTTATTTGCCTTTTGCTTTATCCCCTTGTGTCCATGAAAAAACACTTAAGGAGAAAGTCAACATCCAGGCCAATAGCCCAAAAAGAGAAGTAGTCTTGGTCTAACTTGATTGCTGGGGAAAAAATAGGTCAGATGCTTCTCTTCTGGAGAAGGATGAGAAGCATAAACCGGGAAAGTTACTTATGAATGGCCACCTCCTCAGATTAACTACTCAGTGATTTGTCAAAACATAACTCATGTCCTGCAAGTTAAAAGAAAAGATGATTTACGTGAAATTCCATTTGGGGTGCATCAGTTTGCAACATCCTGCCCCTTACTGGAGTGGTGATGCATCATTGGGTAGAATTTGCCCATTAATAGAAGCTGATCTTTGTCACAATCACTTTTGTAATGTTATCAAACTTTATTTAGGATTTCAAATATAACTCAAAAGAAACTAAAGATTGTTATTATTCACTTAAAGGAATTTGCTAAATATTAGCTTTTTCTAATATGTTCTTTAAAAAGTTATCTATTTTTAGATAAAATACTTCCTATTTGCCAAAATCCTGAGTCTGTACAAAAGGTTGACAACTTGAGTCTGACTTTACTCCCCAGCCTCACTTCTCACAACTTCTTGCCTTGTTCCTTGTACTCCAGTTGGTAAACCAAACTTCTGATTTTTCTGAAAACAAAATTCTGTTTCACCTTACTGTTTTCGCTCATGTCTTCCTACCTATACCCTGGATGCTTTTTACCCAACCTTCAAAACCCAGTTCAGGTCTCATTTCCAATAGTAAGTCTGCCTTGGAGCCCCAGCCAATAAAAACTGCCTTTACATGGGCTAACCTGGTGGTGCAGTGGTTAAGTTTGGGTTCTCTGCTTCAGTGGACCGGGGTTTGTGAGTTTGGATCCCACGTGCGGAGCTATACACCACTAATCAAGCCATGTAGTGGTGGCATACCAGATACAAAATAGAGGAAGATTGGGACAGATGTTAGCTCAGGGATAATCTTCCTCCCCCCCCAAAAAAACAACCCTGCCTTTATCTTTGCCCCCCTCATCTTACATTTTAGCATTTACTATCACTTAATATGTTTTACTGTAATTCTCTGTGTATTATCTTTTATTCCCAGTAGATCATAGGCTTTGCAAGAGGAGAGCTATAACCTGACTTTATAGTCCCATTTCCTAAGAGTGCCCTTCTCCTCATAGGTCTTCCCACATGTTTGAATTAAACTGTCCAGAAGCCCTTAAATAGGTTTATAATACCATCTAGGGTATTCGTCTTTTGAGATGAATTATATGGTTACAAGTTAATATAAATAATTAAATGTCACTGTAAGAATATGTCTTTAAATTTATAAAATATCTGTATTAAGTGAATAGAAAATATAATTTATGTCACCTTTTATTGATGATATAATTTCAGGTGTTAGTTTCTTTGAGCAACAAAACAGTGCTTTTTTACAACTTTTAATTTTGAGATAATTGTAGGTCCACATAAGTTGTAAGAAAAACAAAGAGATGTCATATGCTCTTCACTTACTTTCCCCTAGTAGTCTGTACTTCAATGGGCATTTAATTTTGTATCAAAGTATTTACTTGAAGTATATATATATACATATATAAAATATATAACTATATACTCTATACAAGAACTATAAGTCATTAATCTAACAATTGTCAAACAAAATTCTGGTGCTCCTTTCCAAAAATACTTTTATAGGCAAACTTGATCATCTTCACCAAAAAACAGAGAACACTGGAGAGATTCTTCGTGAAAAATAGACAAGCCCTCTAGACTCGAGTCCCTCAGAAGGTCACTCTTACATTCACAGATGTGTATAATAAAGGCAGTCATTGTCCATTACCCACAAGATTATCAAATTATGACTTACTGCCATATGATGTATCCAAAAAATTATTTTCAGAATTTGAAAGAACTTTAAATCATCTAGGTCGTCCTGCTTTCTATTTTAAAGCATACGGAACCTTTTCAAGCTAGCCTTAATTAGTTGCAGAGTGGGAAAAATCATTAATTGATTAATGGATTCTTTGAATACTGAGTTTCTATTTTGTGGAAAGCAGAAAGAAACCCAGTTGTTTCTGAACTAAACATGGTCTAGTATGTGTAGGCACTCTCAGAAATAATTGGTCAAGGATTTGGTAATATTTATATCACAACATTTTTCCTTTTGCCAACTCAGTCTGTTACTGTAGCTTAATCCCACTACTTCTCATTCACCTTCAAAAACCTTGGTTTATTCTTTGCTAAAATAATCCTTCATTCCTTTTCATTCTAATAATTTCCAGTTACAAAAGCATACATAGAGAACACCTTGCAATTTACTGGCAGTATTTACTTGCCTCTTGGGCAGGCACAGTAAATAGCAGCCTAAATATTTTGCCCCAGATTTCTACTGCCTGCCTTGCTCTATATCTTCTGCTTGTGACATAAAGTACATTAGATTTCCTTCTCTGAGACTCAGACGTCATCCTCTGTGGCATGCCTGTTAATGACTATTATCTTGATGAGTCACTTTGTCAGATGGTTTTCCAACAGGATGCCTTGTGGGAATGGGAAGGAGGGAGGAGATATGATGTAGAGGCAAAATAGTCAGAGATCGAGAGCAAGAGAGTCTGGAAGCCAGAGGCTTAGGAGTTGGGTCCATCATTACTGACCCATGTCCCTTTATCACCTTATGAGTGAGTTACATAATCTCAGTATCCTCCATTTGTTCATCTGCAATTGAGACTAGTCATGTCTCCTTAGAGGACTGTTGTGAGAATTAAAGAAATAAACTACAAGAAAGCACTTTTTAACATATGCAAATAAATGTGTGTATGTATGCGTTTGTACCTTGAAGGCAACTACCAGCATAAGGGAAAGGGATGTTAAAAATAAAAGTAGTGTCTCCTTCACCCTTCACAAACTTTCCTTGGTTTGAGCTTGTCAATTGACATCTGTCTGACTCTATTAGCGAGAGGTGTGCTGTGTTAGGTCAGAGGTTTCCTACAGGACACATGCACAGAATGGTCCATGGCACGTAGCTCTGGCCCAAGTCTCTTTAGTTATGTGAACTTCACAATGAGGGAACTCAAACATTTCTGTTGATCTCCACGTGGCTCATCAACCTGTGAAGGAAAGGAAGGAGAGAAGGCGTTCATATCTTGAGAACAAGCCACTCTTTTCCTATGGGAAGAGTATAAACATACAATTTGTTGACCAAATTTACTCTGGTATTTCCTGTGATAGGTAATACATGATAAATGATAACGTATGATCAACTTTCAGATCTTATGGGCTAAGCCAGTGGGAATTTGTATATTCTGCTCAGAATTTAGCTAGCTTGTTGAAGAAGTTCCAAAATCTAGAACCCCTAAAGGAAAACTTCCCTCTGTTAATAATTAAGGAAACACTAAGCACTAGGCAAGTTCTAATTATTTTATATGTATATCTGATTGAATCCTCATAAGATAACAAGGGAGGTACTATTATGTTGCCCATTTTACAGATGAAATTGGGACAGAGGCAGTTTAGTGACTTCTGCCGTCATTCACCAATAAATGCAAATCTGGGATTCAAACCCAAACACTCTGGATCCAGGTGCCTTTGCTAATCACAACGCTGCTTCTCTACTCTGAGAAAGCTTTCCTAAGAGTGACAAAATAAGAAGGAGTTTTGGTACCTGAGGTCTTCTTAACCTAAAGTAGTTTGGCACTTCTGAGTAGAAGATCAAATGCCTTCCTTATAATTACCTACAAACGTTTCAGAGAAAATTATCTTTAGATGCACCAATCAAAACTTATGTCTTAGGGGAAAGGGTCTTGTCTGTCAGTTACTAATTCCCTCAGTTCTTCATTCTTTCCAGGAAAAAGAAAAAAAAAAAACACTTCAACAATGCTGATGGATTTTCTCCCAACCCAGAGTAGTGATTCTGCTATTTTAAAGACAACATGGATGTTGGGATTAGTCTGTCTGTATCTTAGAATGTCGACACATTTGCCAAAAATGGATTTATCAGCTAAATGTAGCCAAGAGATTTAGTTTATCTAAGTGTCCTACAAAGAAGAAATAGTTTACCACTGTTTTTACAGATTGAGGTAATCTGACATATTATTGACATATGCTGTAGATTTAATTTAATACCATAGTACAGATGTGTGCTCTGATAAGCTTTTGTGAAATCTGGGCTAACACGAGTAGAGTTGTTTCAATATTTATGGGGTTGAAAATGCAGAGTTAGCAAAAGAAGCATTTTAATTAAAACAATATTTCCCCCTATATACACAGAGTAAAATGCAGAGAATTCTTTTAAAGACTTACTAGTTGTTTGCATGTAGTTGCTGGGTTTTTAGTCACATTGAAAGAGGTTGAGGGGTTTTGTTCCAATTTTTTTTAATCTTTTGATTTTTAAAACCATCAAAAAATAAAATTAATAGTTTCCTCTGATTTTTCCTTCTTTCAACTAAATTTATGTGACTTTTTAAGTTTAGCATTTTTTAATTATATGTTTTAGGTATCCTGGAAATAACTTCAGTGGAAATAGGAGTTGTTGCCGTCAAAGCCATTAACAGCAACTATTATTTAGCCATGAACAAGAAGGGCAAACTCTATGGCTCAGTAAGTATTCTGCTTTTATTTTCAAAATCTACTGCAATAAATCATTACCACAGTTTTGGAATGTTTCCCGCAGACATTGAATAGCTTTGTTATCATTCTCTTGCCAGTAAATAGAGCCACAGTGAGCTGGTCACCAGCGTTTCAAGAGCTGGCAAGGCAGCTCTTCCAACTCTATAATCTCCTCTGTTGTTCACCCCTTAGTCTGCCACACAGGCTGTTGCTGGCATTTGTCAGTCAATGCTAATGTTCTGAGCTAACTGACCAGACTCTCACGGAAGCATCTAGTCAGATTGGCACGGGCGCTGCAGACAACTTGTAGAAGAATCATTGCAAACAAAGATCTTGAATTGAGAAGAAAACCATATACTGTGTGTGTGTTACAGTTGAAGCTAAAACAGGGGCTCGGATCTTATGTATTCTATTAAAATCTGAAATGGAGAGACATATCAACAAATTCATCCTGCTGTGTGCCATTCAAACTCCAGAATTTTATTTACCCAGACAATAGTCATTAATTCAGTTATGGAGCTGGTATCAAGCCAGTGCTTTGGGTACATACATCCCTGTGTTCCATAGCAAGGATTAAGGGATATCACTTTAAAATGTGAAAATAAACTTATTTTGTTGATTAGCATAAGGATGATTGCAGTGCCTGCCTAGAGTCAGCAGCTCTCAGACTGGAGTGTCGGCATCACTGGGAGGATTTGCCAAAACACACTCTCAGATTTTCTGATTCAGTAAGTCTGTGGTAGGGGCTAAGAGTTTGCATTTCTAACAAGGTCCCAGGTGTTCCTGATGCCACTGGTTTGGTAACCACAATTTGAGAATCATTGAAAATTGATTCCGTCATTGGTCTGGATATGGGATAGCCTTGCATTTCAATTATATCAGGTCCAGTTACAGTTGGGGAGCCAGGCGTTCTTTGGGTTGGTCCTTGTGGCTAAGGTAAATGCTTTTGAGGTGAGGGTGGAGTCAGAGGAATTTTAGTTAAGCTTTTCCATTTACATTGCTCTACTCATGAGCCTAGAAGAGTAATGGACCTTGTTTAAAATGTGGCTCCATGTAGGGGTTCGCATATCACTTTTGAGGCATTTTTGTTTTCCTTTTCAATGAACATGCCCAGGTCCCTCCTTAATCTACTATATCCAGAATTACTGGGTAAAAGGACCAGGTATATATCTTTGAAGAGATGCTGATACACACATACAGTCAAAACCAATGCTTTAAAGCCAGCTAAAATGAATTTAGATTGCGGAAGAAAAACATGAAAATTCTAATTGCAATAAAAGATTAAAATAATTTTTAATTGATAAAGTATATTTCTTTAAAAAGGTGACATCAAGGAGAAATGGATAACCCTCAAATGAAGTGTCATAAAACTGCTTAATACTTTTCCTCCCATTCCCCCACTTTTTTCACTTTCCCAGCACAGCTCATGTACTATGCCTATGCTTCTTCTTGAGCTCCAAGGTCTGTGGCATTTCATTTTATCTCTTTACCTAAAGTAGACACCCAAGAGCTTTCTATCACATCACCCCATTTTAATTATGTGCAATGGCACTTACCAGATATTTCTCTCATTATGTGTTTGTTGTTGACTGTCTTTTCTCAGTAGATTGTGAATTTCAAGAGAACAGTGTCTGCCTTGTCCCCCACCATTTCCCCAGCACTTAGAACCATATAGGGCACAGGGTTGTGCACTGCATAAAACTACCTACCTCTCCAAGTAGCTCAGCCCATCACACACTATGCTCTCCATGTCCTTGTTTTCAATCATTCCTAGACTCAGAGTAAAATTTACTGAAATTCCAAGTTATGGAAAATTATAAATAATTTACAAAATTGAGAAATCTTGTATTTGGAACAGAGGAAGACATCCCCCACTCCCACCCCCGTGGCCTCTCGGTTATCTAGAACTATTACGCGTCTGCTATAAGATCTGCTTTCTTATCAATGTGTGTATATTTATTATGGATTTATAGGTAGATAAAGTTTGCAAACTTGATAAGCCCACCTTTTTCCTGTAATTCTATTCTTTTCATGGGACTCTGGTCATTACTCTGAAAAGAAGGATTATAACACTATTCTTTATCATTGACTCATCACAAATACTGTTAGTGGAATGTTTGCATTTCGATAACCATTCTATGCACTTAAACCATGTCATATTTAAAGTACACCAGCTTTTTAAAAGGGTCCCAATATGTGGTTATGATGATCAACTAAAATGAATCATGTGCTTCAAATGTAGAAGCTGTTTTGTGGTTATGACTTTTACTCTTCTGTTATTGAAAGTGTGTGTTAGGTACACAACTTATGCATAAATGGCAACAACAAATAAAACCCTTGAACTGGAGGTCTCTGGATGGTTTGTGTCAAATGGAATAAAGTATCATCACCACAGAAATAAAAGATTTTGTTTTTCCCTTGCAGAAAGAATTTAACAATGACTGTAAGCTGAAGGAAAGGATAGAGGAAAACGGATACAATACCTATGCATCCTTTAACTGGCAGCACAACGGGAGGCAAATGTATGTGGCATTGAATGGAAAAGGAGCTCCCAGGAGAGGACAGAAAACACGAAGGAAAAACACCTCAGCTCATTTTCTTCCAATGGTGGTCCACTCGTAGAGGAAGGCAGTGTCGGTGGCTGCGATAGAACCAAAGGCTCTTGTGCCAGGAATAGTTGGTATTCTTCATGAAGACAGTAGCTCAATGGCACAGATACATTGCAGATGTCTGCTTGCTTGAAAGAAAGGAAGTCTTTGAAGGTTTTTGTGCTCACTGCTGACATATGATGTTCTTTTCATTAGTTCTGTGTCATGCCTTATAATTGAGATGTAGACAGATCAAATGAGATGGAAGTTATTCCTAAGCAAACAACATTGTGGCTGGGTTTTGGTTAAGTTTAAGTTTTGGTTTATGTTTTTGTTTTGCAACCTCTGAGATAGAACTTAAAGAACACAGAACAATCTGTTGAATGATTTTTGGGAAAGTTATTTATGGCATACGAACTCATATCAAAGACTTTCATTGCTCATTCAAGCCTAATGATTCAATGAGCAGTAAGACACGCGAGCATTTACTGGAAAGCACTTGGGTCATATCACATGCACAACCAAAGGAGCTTTGGGCGTGGCATCATGGAAGAATTGGATAGGATTAAAAAATGTAAACATGTTAGTGTGAAACTGTTCTAACAAAACAAATACTATGGTATGCTTGTGCATTCTGCCTTCATCCCTTTCTATTTCTTTCTAAGTTATTTATTTAATAGGATGTTAAATATCTTTTGGGGTTTTAAAGAGTATCCTCAGCAGCTACCCTCTGATTTACCTTTTCTTTTTCTTCAGCACACTACACGCATGTTCATGACAAAGTGTTTTTAAAACTTGGCAAACACTTCATGAATGGGAGATGAGATTAGGAAAGCAGTGCGAGTGCCCCACATGCTAGCCTTTGACTTAACTTGCACTTCTTCTGTAAGAATCGACAACAATAAATATGACAGTGCTGTGGCATGTCTTGAGTGAGAGATGTCTGCCATCATTTAAAAACATACACCACTCCTAAGGCCTCCTTTCCTAAGAAATAGACCAGAAGGCCAAATTCTTCTCTTTCAATACATCAATGGGTCTCCAAGAATATATTAAAAGAAAGAAAAATAGTTGTTAAATACATTTTAGTAGCATAGCCTCATTATTAACTAACAATTTTTTGCCATATGTCACAGTGGTAAGTGTTTAAGAGGCTGTCTGCATATATAAGAACCCTTTCTAAGTCTCACATAGTGCATCTCCCCCAAAGGAACTATCAAGGAATTTGGTATGAAGTGCAACTCTCCCAGGGGCTTAAACTGAGCAAATATATTCTGGTATATGTGTAACCATATACTGAAACCTGTTCAAGCTGTATGATCTAGTCTTTACAAAACCAAATAAAACTTATTTTCTGTAAATTTAAAGAGCTTTGGAAGGTTCCATAATGTAGCCCTATGGAAATTCATTTTGTTAGAGCAGGTATAGAAAACAGTACATAAGAGTGTACCAGTCATCATCACATTGTATTCCACTAAATAAGTACATAAGCCTTATTTGCAGTGTCTGTAGTGATAAAAAAAAAAAATGTAGAAAAATACTGTTTGTTCTAAATACTTTAAGTGATTAACTATAAGATTATATTGATGCTGAAGTTTTATCTTCATATTTCTTGTTTTGAAAAGGTCAGTTTATTTTTATTGTTTGGACAGTATTTTGGTACAAGGGAAAGACTCACTAAACGCATCTTTTTACTAAAGTTTAACCTCTAGACAGGCTGGTGTTTTGTGATCCTCTCTTATAACTTAATTGTGTCAATGCTTAACCAGCTCTTCCAGTTAATCTGTTATTTAAGAATTAGCTTTATTAAGAAACTTTCCCATAAAGTAACCCCATAAAAGTTCATATTTTTCTCATTCCTTAACAAAGGTATGACATTTCAAAAGAAATGTGTTTGAGGCAGAGTGTTTCGGCTTATGACTAGTTTCATGGTACGTGGCTTCCAACTTGCTTTTTGACGAATAAGATTCTAAAAATGTTTCATTTTTGTGGTTGGAATTTGTATGTTAAAATTTAATTGGTAACTGAGTCTGAGTGCTATAATGCAGTGCATTCCTATCAGAACTAGATTATCTTTGTTCTTTTATTTTAAAATAATAATTACACCTGACACATGAACATGGACCACCCACAACCAAAATGAAATGTTTGGTGAAACAAATACAGTATTAGATGACCACGGTAACAGCTAATAGGGCACAAACTGGATTCGTGTTTCACATAGCCATTTAGATTACCAAAGAGACTATGTGTAAACAGACATCATTGTAGCACTCAAAACACTAAAACAGCTTCTAGCAAAATGTATCAGAGCTTGCAGAAACCAAAAATAGAAAACATCTCCCTCACCCTGCACCCCAACCACCGTCCCCCCAACACACACAAGAACAGAGATAAAGACAGAAACAGTGTGGTAAGGAGTAAAGAGATTCTCCTGCATTTAAAAATGACGTCTTTGCTGGATATCGAGATAGAATTCTGGTAGCCTTTGCAGCTGGACTGTGCTACTGAAGGAAAAGCAGTTCCAGCTCTGAAAGCTGTATGTTAAAAAAAATCAACACAATTTGGGGAGCTCTGCCTGTGTGGGAAGTGTGGGCCCTGGCCACGGTGTCAAGGTGTGTCAGCCACAACTGGGTGTCCATCTGAGTGTTGGTTCCAAGGAGACTCCTCGTAAAGATAGGGAATCCCTGCCTCCTACCTCCCGAAAGGCTGAACAGTGTATAGTATGTTACATTTAAATAAATCAATAAAAATGCTGCGAAAAGAAAATAAAAATATTGTTTTTGTTTGTTTTATTAACCTAAAACTATACCTGATATAAGAGAGAAGCTCAAGTGTGTGTATGGCAGGATGTGGTTAAATGCCCCAGAGCCCTAAACAACAACAGAAAAAAACCTCACTCAAACATTTGTAAGGTTTCTTTAATGTTTTACATGTGTGAGTCAGCTATCCTTACTCTAATAACAACCAAATGCTTTCGATTTTTCCTAAGTATTCAGGCCCACCTAGTTTACACAGTGGATAAAGAAGGATGAATTGAAAACAAGGATGGCTTGTGAAACAATGAAAGACTTTTGAAAGAAAGCCAGGAGGCTGCAAAATCTGATTTCAAGAGGATAGAGACGGCCAACGAGTTTGATTTGAACAGGAGAGAGAAAAAAATATATAATAAAGCAAGTTGGGTCCAGGGCCAAAGCAAGGTTATGGACACTATTTAAATAGATCAGCATTAATGCTGCACATTTCTAATAATTTTAATGTAGTTACTTCAGAGTTTATGATTATTCAGCAAAAAATAAAATTTACCTTTTCCTTACCAGGGAAGTCCAAACTTTATTTAAATAAAGTTATCTGTAGGAAGCCGTGAAATATTTAAGAGAAAATATCTAGTGCATTCGAAGTAACATATTTACATGCAAACAAATACCACGTTGATTAAGAATTCTTGTTATCTATTTCACTAGACAGGGCTTTTGTAACTGAACTAAACTGTAAGAATAAAGGAGGGATATTTTCAAAGGACACTGGAAAGAAACGGGAAACTCTTCGTTCCACCAGAACTGGGACCCAAAGCAACTAAGATTGGCTGCCTCACAAGCACTCATGTCCTCTTTTCTCTGATTGGCCTTATTTACTTGGCTACTGCTTGCCTCTAATTTACTTCTTTCCAACTCCAAACCCCAAATCTCTTTTCCTAAAAATCCGAAAATGGAAACATCCTCGATGTAACTTATTGGCCAGGTTTGGGTAACATACCAACCTCTAGAGCAATTGGTATGGCAAAAGATATGGGCATTGTGATTGGCCAAGCTTCCATCACATGACCACAGAGTGACAAGGTGCTAATTTTGGCAGTCCACACCATTGGAACTAGTCAGGAGCAGTGTACCAAAGAAAGGGCAGGGCTGGGCAGATGCAAAAACAAATCAGTTCTTAACTACGACTAGTTAAATGAGACTACTAACTTAAACCCAGCTATATTCAGGGCCTTACTCTTGGCTTTAAAACAAAACAATCTTTCCCTTTTAAAATCTCACATTTTTCGCTAATTTTAATTAGGTTTCACCTATTTGTTCAAATCAGAGAGGTCTCAAGATCTTTCTTCTTTTACGCATCTTTAACAGGTTCACAGCAATTCTGCAAACTTCATAGAATGATCATTGAGATGAAGGCACATTTTCACTGAAAAGGTGGTCCTCCCACTAAGTGTCACCCTATATCACAACATGACATTCTAAGTATTTCTTTAAGTTTATCCCAAGAATATGTACTAGTGTTTTCAAATATATCAACATGTAGAAAACATCTGAAACTCAAATGCCATTCATTTTCTAAAAATTGTAAGAAAGAAACAAAGAGAAAAAACTTGCTTTGTATCTTTTCCTATGCCTTGTATACATTCAATAGGAGACAAAAGAAAACTTTATAACATGCATTTCTCTTTTCTTTTGCTGATAAGAAAATAATAAAACTCAAAAGGCCCTTGCAAGTAAATAAGCTACTGAAAAAACCTTTTTATACACCATGTATTAATTAAAATGGAATAATCACGATCCAACTAATGAGATCAAAGGAATTGGTCTCATTCCTAAGTGGCTAACAATGCGCCTTTCCACGTGGCTCCTTCGTGATAGCAGAAAAGAGCAACAATTCCATACTCAAAGAGGAAAGCCATATGCCAGCCATATACGCGTGTGGCATATATTATTTTACACATTTTTATTATCCTCCACAAAAGAGCCTATGTTCATTTTTTAATATAGGCAATTGCATCCTCTAGAGATGAGCACAGCAAATGAAGAATCAAAACACCCCATGTTCCTCATTACAACTGTAAATTGAACATATGCCTTCCTACAACGTAGGCAGTGACCCCAGCTGTAGACTAACCAACTACAGTAAGGCCTCAACCCTCCTAAAGTTTGGTTTTAATTACCTTATACACATCTTAAATGCCTAAATCATCTTACAGTTTTCTAAATTATTTAGTTATCATTTCTGTGGTCATTTTAAGCGGCTGACAATGCAAATAGTCTCAGAGAGGTCCTTCAAGGAGAAGTAAATTAAAATCAGTGTTTCACGAGGTATTATAAATCAAAACAAGAATGCTTTTTATGGTTACAGGAAGCATTCAAGTTAGGGGTCAGTCATCAACTCAACATTAAAAATATTTTAACATCCGGTAATTAAACATCAGACTTTTCAATAACTTTTTTTTTAGTAACACTATCAATATGTTCAGATATCAGTGACATTTAAGCCAATATCTATAAAAATGACTTAAGAAAAATATCTGTTTTTAGGGAGCTTTCCAACTGAGAGAAACACTGAAAAATGGCATTGCATAAAAGTAAGGATACAAATTATATCTTATTTGTTTTTCTGATAAATTGAATATTGGATGTAAAATTCATTTTACAATGCAAGCTTACCCTCAGGCAGGTAACAAAAGAACTGAATAATATTTTTTTAAATAGTATCTTAAAGTCAGTATCAGCAACCATTCCTCCTCATCTTACCCTAAGAATCTGCATTCCATCCTCCAAGATCTCTTAAGAAACAGTCATATCAGCATATTTCAACTGCAATAGTTTATCTTTCTCATTGTCTTCTTTTTTAACTCTAGGTAATACTAAATAACTATATGCAATCCACTTCCGTTTTAGACTCACAGGAAAAAGATAGACTTTATTTAGACCACTACCTACTTCAGCTGCTTCAATTGAGTAAAGACCCCACAGTAACATTAATAGAGATTGCTGGAGGCAATTAATATGAGGGACTTGGGATTACTGTTACATTTCCCTTTCTATTTTTTTAACGTGTTTCTCTCTATGCATATAAATATCCCATAGTGATAAAATCAATGATTCCTAATCATTTAAATTATTCATTCCTACTATCAGGAAAAAAACCCAAAATTTAAACATAGGGCCTGTTATGGGTTGAAGTCTTAATCCCAGTACCTTAGAATGTGGCCTTATTTGGAGATAGGGTCCTTGCAGATGTAAGTAGTTAAGATGAGGTTAAACTAGAGAAGAGTGGACCCTAAATCCAATGTGACTGGTGTCCTGATAAAAAGAGGGAATTTGGACACAGACATGCACATAGGGAGAACACCATGTGATCATGAGGGCAGAGACTGGGTGATGAGTCTAGAAGCCAAACAACACCAACGATTGCCAGCAAACCACCAGAAGCTACTCTCTCTCTCAGCCTTCAGAAGAAACCAACCCTGTAGATAACTCGATTTCAGGCTTCTAGCCTTCAGTACAGTGAGACAATGAAATTCTGTTGTCTAATACACCCAGGGTACGGTACTTTGTTATGTTAACCCTAGGAAACGAATACAGAGTCTATAACTTAAGACTCACAGAACTCATAGTTAGGGATTGTCTGACACATCTGGAATCACAAGGCTTTCACGTCACTATACCAGAATTATTGGACACCAGCCTTCATACTGAGTAACCTTAACAACTCCTAACTCATGTCACTGTACGTTGTACAGTTTTGTTCGAGAAATATTTACTTAATCAACCCATAGATTTGTGCAGTATCCCCGCAGTCATGTCATGCTTTTCCCCAAAAGTTTATTGTGTAGTTTGCCCAATGACCCTAAATATGATAGATTCAAATAAATGCCTTTGACCTAAGTCTCATAGCAAGTTAGATGACTTTGACGTAGGCCAGAAAATTTAGTGAGGAATAGACATCCTTTTGGGAGTTCTTGTTTTTGTAAATCTTGACCTTCCCTGCTTACTACAGGAACAACAATAAACAAAATCAAAATAGTACATACAAATATAAATTTATTTATGTTAGCCTCTATTAATTCCTGATAATTTACAATTTTTATGAATGAACACATCTCTTAATAATGATTTTTATGTGAAAATATTTGGAATTAGACTATAATTAGAAGCCATGACTATAAAATAATGGAATTGGCAACTACGTCAAAATTTATGCCTCTAAATGAATATTTCCCACTTCAGAGTAGCACATTAGAAGACTATATTTATATTAATAGTATTTTTCATCTTAGAAATTAGATATTCTCTTCACCAGTTCCTACCTCCTTGCAAGGCATGTTTTGATGCAAGTGACTTTCCATTTCATTGCATCCATGGCAGTTTACACCAGAAATAGGTATCTAGACTTACACTAATTTACAAGCCTATCTTTCGTCTTTTTAGTCTTAATTTTCCCGGTAGAATTACAGAATCAACTTTTGAATCCAAATATATTACTGAATTGGTTCCTATGATCCTACTGTGTGCAACCACAATGAGTAGATAATAAAGGTCCCTCTTCTCCAAAAAACTTTAGTAAATCTATTCAGAACCAACAATGTATAAAACAATGGAATGCTTGCATTATGTACCAAAAGTCTATAAGGACATTTTGTAAATATAGACATGTTTGCCAAATCTTCTCTCCTAATTTGCTTAGTCCTCTTTCTCTGATCATTTACTGGTGAAACGAACAATATCCAAGATTCCTACAGTGCTCAATATTTTATCCTCCTTTCTTTACCATCTCAACTTCCATCTTCATTTGTATAACTAGTAGTTAAACAAGCAAGGAGCTCCCTAGCAGGCCTTCAACAACATAGACCTCTGCTACAGAAATCACTCTGTGCTAATCACTCTACGGTAACTCAGTGCTAAGTCAATGCTGGATCTAACCACAGGAGCACTCAACCTTCAAAATATCACAGATTGGTCCTGGGACACAACATAGTCCTGTCACCAGAAAACTTGTTCAAG